AAAAAAAAAAAAAAGACGAGGCTTATCGTTCCAACAGAGACTGGAGAAACCCTGAGAGTATGGCCCCCAGACACCCTTTTAGCACAGTAATGAATTCACTCCTGAGGTTCAACCTTCAGCCAAATATTACACAGGCCCATCAAACAAAATGAGACTAAATGGGCATACCAGCTGAGAGTCAAGAACGAGAAGTCAGGAGGGGACATGAAAACTGATAATGGGGACCCTAAGGTCAAGAAGGGGAGAATGTTGACATGGCGTGGGGCTGATAACCAATATCACAAAACAATACATGTATTAACTGTTTAATGAGAACCTAACTTGCTCTGTAAACCTTCACCTAAAGTACAATAAAATAAGTAAAGAATGAAAAAAAAAAATGTAAAGAAATAAGAATGTTAAATGGGGTGGAAGGGGAGGAGCACAAGCATATTTTATTTTACAGATTAAATAATTCTTTATTTAGAACCCCAAAAGATGGTAGCTGTGATAATAGGAGTGAGAGATTTCAGCAAGTATTCAGATTACAAAAAAAGTTTACTTTAAATATTTCAGTTCTGTACACCAGTTCCAAGCTGTTGAAAAATTAACTTTTAAAAGATAACACATCTTTTAATAAAAATAAAAACTAACTAAAAGGAATGCAATTAATTAAAGATCCTAATTTAAAAAATTACAAAACATTATTAGATGACACACAAATACACTGAAATAAACGAAAAGGTAGAACATGCTCTTAGAAAACTGTTCTTCCCAGATAGATCGTTATTTACAATGCACTTCTATAAAATTCCAAACAATTTAATTATTTTTTTTAGGGCTTCACACACACACACACAAAAAAAAAACCACATTAAAAATGTATTTGGAAGTGCAAACCCCACAAAGTGTCAATATTTTCTAATGGAAAAAGCATGGGGGCTTGTCCAAACATGTCATATATAATTACATTTTTATATATTTACTTTGTAAATGAAACTATAACATATTAGTGTAATATCAATACGGGAATACACAAAACCACCAATGGAAAAAAACAGCCCTAGAAAAGGCCCACCAATCTATATAAAGTTGATTTACGACACAACAAGCAATGCAGGGCAATGAGAGAAAGCACGAACACTTCAATTTGTGGGGTAATGTCAACTAAATGGTGTCCTGGAGTGGCGCAAAGGGAAAATTTGGCCTTGGTGATAGAAAAGATGCCAGAGATTACGTGATAAAATTTTGCAAAACCAACGATTTCTTCGTTGCAAATGATTTTTTTTCAATAAACCGTGACTATACACATGTATCTTGCAGGATGGAATACACAGGAATCAAATCAACTACAACTGTGGAAAGAGACAATGGAAAAGCTCAGTATCAGAACAAGGCCAGGAGCCAAACTCAGAACGGACCATCAGCTGCTCATATCCAAGTTTGAGTTGAAGCTGAAGAAAATTAGAACAAGTCCACGAGAGCCAAAGTACGACCTTAAGTCTATTCCACCTGAATTTAGAGACCATCTCAAGAACAGATTTGATGCACTGACAACAAATGATCAAAGACCAGATGAGTTGTGGAATGACATCAAATATGAAGAAAGCAAGAGATCATTAAACAGACAGAAAGAAAGACCAAAATGGATGTCAGAAAGGACTCTGAAACTTGCTCTTGAACATCCAATAGCTAAAGAGAATGGAAGAAATGATGAAGTAAAAGCACTGAAGAGAATATGTCAAAGGGCAGCTCAAGAAGACAAAGTAAAGTATTATAATGACAAAGGCAAAAACCTGGAATTAGAAATCCAAAACAAAGGAACACGCTCGGCATGTCTCAAGCTGAAAGAAATGAAAAAAAAAATTCAAGCCTCGAGTTGCAATAATGAAAGAGTCTATAGACAAAATACTAAATGACACAGGAAGCATCAAAAGAAGATGAATGGAATACACAGAGTCACTGTATCAAAAAGAATTGGTCGACATTCAATCATTTCAGGAGGTAACATAAGATTAAGAACTGATGATCCTGAAGTAAAAAGTCCAAGCTGCACTGAAGACATTGGTGAAAAACAAGGCTCCAGGAATTGATGAAATACCAATTGAGATGTTTCAACAAAGAGATGCAGTGCTGCGTGTACTCACTTGTTTATCGCAAGAAATCTGGAAGAGAGTTACCTGGCCAACCGACAGGAAGAGATCCATATTTATGGCTATTTCAAAGAAAGAAGATCTAACAGAATGCGGAAATTATCGAACAGTATCATTAATATCCTATGCAAGTAAAATTTTGATGGATCATTCAAAAGCGGTTGCAGCAGTACCCTGACAGGGAACTGCCAGAAATTCAATCTGAATTCAGAAAAGGATGTGGAACAAGACTTATCATTGCTGATGTCAGATGGATCCTGGCTGAAAGCAGAGAATACTACAAAGATGTTTATCTGTGTTTTACTAACTATGCAAAGACATTCAACTGTGAGGATCATAACAAATTATAGACAACACTGTGAAAAATGGGAATTCCAAAACACTTAATTGTGCTCATAAGGAATCTGTACTTAGAATAAGAGGCAGTTGTTTGAACAGAACAAGGGGAAACTGCATGGTTTAAAATCAGGAAAGGTATGCATCATGGTTGTATCCTTTCACCATACTTATTCAATCTGTATGCCGAGCAAATAATCCAAGAAACTGAACTATATAAAGAATGGGACATCAGGATTGGAGGATTCACTGACAACCTGCGTTATGCAGATGGCACAACGTTCCTTGCTGAAAGTGAAGTGGACTTGAAGCGCTTACTGATAAAGATCAAAGACCACAGCCTTCGGTATGGATTACACCTTAACATAAAAAAAAACAAAAATCTTCACAACTGGACCAATAAGCAACATCATGATAAACGGAGAAAAGACAGAAGTTGCCAAGGATTTCATTTCACTTGCATCCACAATCAATACCCATGGAAGCAGCAGTCAAGAAATCAAAGGACAGAGTACAGTGGCTAAATCTGCTGCAAAAGACCTCTTTAAAGTGTTAAAAAGCAAAGATGTCATTTTAAGGACTAAGGTGTGCCTGACCCAAACCATGGTGTTTTCAATTGCCTCATATGCATGCGAGAGCTGGACAATAAGGAAGACTGAAGAACTAACGCCTTTGAATTGTGGTGCTGGCAAAGAATTTGAATATACCATGGACTGCCAAAAGAATGAACAAATCTCTCTTGGAAGAAGTACAACCAAAATACATCTTAGTAGCAAGGATAGCAAGATTACATCTCACATACTTTGGACACTTTATCAGGAGAGATCAGTCCATGGAGAAGGGCATCATACTTGATAAAAGTAGAGGGTCAGCCAAAAAGAGGAAGATCCTCAACGAGATGCACTGACACAGCGGCTGCAACAATGGGCTCAAGCATAACATCGATTGTGAAGATGATGCAAGACCATTCTGTTGTACATAGGGTTGCTATGAGTTGGAACCGACTAGACAGTACCTAACAACAACTAGGCATAGGTGGGAGGCCAAGTATCTAGACTGGGGATTCATGCTTTTCACGCACTTGCAAGCCTCAAGGCAAAAGCATTTCCCACTGGGGTTGAGAGGGTGAGGGGAGAATGGGTCTGGAGATCCCACACAGGTGCCATATGGACTCACTGTCACCAGGTTCATAACTTTGGTGATGTCAGGAGAGCACCACGACCACCCAGGACCCCATAAACAGGGCCTTCACTCACAATCCCTCATCCCCCTTTTCTAACGCATAACACAGCGTGAGAGATATAGCTGTGGTTTTAGAACTGCACAGAACATGCTCCAGTGCCTAGGGGAAGTCAAGAAAACTGTTAAGAGAGATGGGACAAGGATGGCTCTGGAGGGCCTGGTGTCAGCCTTCACAGCCAGAGCTGCTCTGTCTTCAAGCTCTGGTCAGGAGACTCTGTCATTCAACAGAAAGCATCAAGGCCCAAGGTGGGGATGTTAACACCCCATGGTGCCAACTCTGAGAGTCACAGAAGGAAGGTGATCCCAGACATCCAAATCTTGAAAAGCCACCTACGCACAGAAAAAGGGCCCAGTGACAGTGGAGCAGGGCCTCAGGATGCCTCCTAGGGCTCAGTCCCTTGGCCGCCTCTGCCACCTTTTTTCTTCAGTGAGGAACTAGTTTCACAGCACACAGCTGGTCCCCAAACAATCCATATCAAGCCTCACTTATGGTAAGTATAACCCAGTTCTCCGTAGAACTCACCATTTCCTTGCTCCACCTTTTGGAATTCTTGAGAGAACGTCGTCTCTAAGCCGAACAACCCACTTCATTAAGAGGGATGGGAGTGGAAGCAGAGCCCCGGGCAGATTGGAAGCCGATGAATAATGTTTGGTCCATACTCTAATCAGGGTAGTTGAAACTGGACTTGTGATTTACGGATGTGCAACATGGTCGCTCTAGGTCCCCAGCTGCCTGGACTAGACTAGTTCTCCCTGTACCACACTTAAAACCTGAAATAGAAGGATGGGAGGAAACAGTGTTGAGTAAGCTGGGAGTGACAGGTTTTCGACTTCCTCCGAGGCTCAGGGCAATGCTCTCCCCTGAGGGCATTTTCACTGCAGGCAGAACAGGCTCCAGCCTCCAGAGCACACACCTGCATTCTTCATACAGCTCCATGGGTTCTCTTTCTGGCAACAAGATCGCATATGGGAGGAATTTATTCATCATTTTTTTTCTGCCTTGAGTATTTTTTCCCCCCTCATTCTCAAACCATGACACCACCAGTCCCTAAGCTTTTGAGAAATCTGGGAGGATTCCTGAACACTTTGTCTTTCAACCTTGTAATAAATCAATCAACAAATAAATCAGAAAATTTTTAAGTTTTCTCTAAGGAGACATTTGCCTCCTTTGTTCCCATTTCTTTCCAACATGCTACCCTGCTTCCCCTCCAAGCTGACTCCTATTCTTTCATTTCTTGGTCTCAGTTTAAACTTTCTCTCTCTTACACGATTTTTACACCAATGTCTCCTCTTTAAGCATTATCCTTTTTTTTGTGGTGTAGTGATTAAGAGCTCGACTGCTAATTAAAAGTTTGCAGTTCAAATCCACTAGCTGCTCCTTGGAAACCCTATGGGGCAGTTCTACTCTGTCCTATAGTGTTACCTATGAGTTGGAATTGACTTGCCAGCAACGGGTTTGGTTTTTTGGGTTTTCTTTTGTTATTTTCTCTAAGAGCACGCTCTAATTTTCATCCATATTCTTATTTCTTATTATTTCCACCGTAAACTAGGAATTGGTTCACTATGTAGAATCTCAAGTCTTACCCCAGAATTTCTAAATCAAAATTTGTACTTTAACAACATCATCAGATATCTACTCTGACATTCAAGTATGAAAAGCATTTACTGATCTATAACCTGTAACTCAAAGACTGAACATTCTAAATGGATACCCTTTGAACCACCTACATCTACAGTATACCACTGGACTATCTTCCTGAAACACAACCAATCTCCATGTCTAGGCCTCCTCACAGTCTTCCTAAACTTGTTCATAACAAGTCCTCTCCTGCCTGACATCATTTAAACATGGTTGTCATTTCCAAAATCAATTTGCAGCACAGAAACTGCTTAATTCCAGACAGTTGCTGTCCACTGGGCTTCAAAAAACCCAGAGTAGTCAGCATGGTTCTAAATGACCCACTGCCATTGCCTCCTCCAATCTGGCTCACACAAACCCCCACCTACACTTTGTTTTCTCTGCTTCAATCATCTCTTTCATCAAGAAATGAATAACACGAGACTTCTGGGCAACATGGCACTATAGTCAGAAGCACCATGCCATCCCTCCACAGCAAAGATCAGAAAAACTAAGTCAAACAGAGTCACACCTCAATCCTGAAACCTTATGCATCAAATGAAAAGATAAACAACTCAGCCAAGCACTGAATGGAATAAGAAACTAACCAAGAACAGAGAGTGAAGGAAGGTACATGCAGAGGTCCCCTATCAGCTACCGCAGCATGGATCCACCATCTTGGACTCCTATCGGAGATCAGTGAACAGGGGATATAAGAAAGCAGCTTCATGGAGCTTCCAGCAAGAGACAGAACAACCAGTAACCAGAGATACAGGCTTTCCCACCCCCTACCCTTCTTCACCTCCACTTAGCCTCCTCTGCTTCCTGCAGCCAGTCTCTTGGCTGGGAAGCACCCCAGTGTCACTTGGATTCCACCCACCCGCACTGGCCGGCTTCCTGAGTGCCTTTTGCTGGCTGCTGGTGTTGCTTTTTTCCACTTCTTTAGATTTCTTCCTTACCTCTCAACACCTCCCCCTCCTTTCTCTCAAATACCTGGCTCCATGTGTCATCTCTGCTTCTTCCTGAAAGGCTGCGGAACACCGCTTGACTGTGAAACTGCTTCCCGGCCTGTGCCACCACGCTGGTAGGACCCCCGGGGCTCTTATATTTGCTCTGATTTTTTCTGTTCTGATTTTTCTTTTTCTTTTCTGGGCTTGGGAGCCCCTTCTAGCCAGGCAGTACCACATGGCTTGGAAGCTACTCCCTTACTCTTCACAAATGCACAGGGACATCCCCGGGGGCGCTTCTTTTTTCCTGTTCTCTTTTAGTTTTTTTTTTTGTTTGTTTCTTTGTTTTGTTTTTTTCTCTTATTCCCTTTTTGTCTTTGTTCACTTCCAGTTTCTTGATTTATTCATTTTTTTCTTTTATTTTTTGTTTTTCCTCATTTCTCAGTCCCTGATCTCTCCACTCCAATAGCAAGCTCCCATTGCACTCTTTTTTGTTTGTGTGTGTTTTTGGCCCTGTTCCTCTCCTCTCCCTCTCATCTTTCTCATACCCATCTTAGCTCCACACATCACAATCTACTCCCTCCTTCCTGCCTACCTGTATCATGTGCTGAAATTCACACTCCCAAGCAGCACAGGAATGGCCTACTGGAACCTGCCCTGCACTGATTCCTGGTCTGCACTGTCAGTCCTGGTACATGCCACAAACCCATCCCAGCAACTCCCCTTCAGCTGGACCTGCCCTGCTGTACCATACCTGACTGACCCTGCCCACTGGAGAAGGATTAAAAAGTATCACGCCCACAAATGAACAAACAACAAAGAATGCACAGCCCGCCTGCTCAGACATAACCAAATAAAACAAAAAACCAGGATGAAACAAACAAATCTACAATCAATAAACGAGGAAAATAACCACTGAATGCCCCCAAAACAGCAGACAATATCAAAACATTTACAAAAACAGGACAGGATGGTTCCAGTAGGCGTCCAA